GGGAGAGGGAAAGAAGGGGGGTAGACTAGGTAGATGAGAAGGGAGACAAGAGAAAGAAAGAGTGTGAATGAAGGACCTTATGGGAGGTGGTGAAAGTTCAGGAGTAACAGTCAAGCCATCAGTATGATTAGTTTGTATGTATGTATGTACAGTACTGTATGTACATAGAAGTGGCAGCAGCAGCAGCAGCAGCAACAGTCAACAAATGTGAATGGACGACTGCTCCAGTCTTCACCGTCTCTGTAAATTAGGATCCGAGAAATTCTTACAATTTACAGACAGACACAGCAGCGGAACTAACAAAAAGTGACTAGCAAAATCAGGAGAGGTGGAACCCATCATCCGCTTCAATTCCACCAGGGAGGGTCAACTTGGGTTAACTTGGGTCAAGAGAAGCAAATGAACATCGTTGTGGTGTGGGGACTTTGGGGGAAGAGGAACCACCAACAACGCTTTGGCTGCACAGGAACTGGAACTGGAACTGGAATCGGAAGGTAAGTACTCGAGGTAGTAAGAATAGGTGATTTCCCTTTTTCCTTTTTCTACCAAAGACTGACTGACTTATCATCTACTCCGTACATCGTCCAGGCTTCTCCGCTTTGTGAACCGCATGGGTTACTGGAAAAAGCAAGCTCTTCATGACTTATGACTTGTTATAGTTTCCCGCCAGTCCATCATTCTGATGGACCCCCCACGAGTCGGAATGCATCAAGCACGAGGGCTCTGGCAAGATCGACATTGGCCTCGGAGTCGCCACCGACTTGAGACCTTCTCGGGTCAGGAACAGCTTGGCCTCAGATATCGGTTTCGGGGAGAGCGTCAATCCATGGACGGAGCACTGCGATTAGTTCGCCCGACAAGCGGCCAAAACCATACCATACCATACCATTCCACGGTTCCTCCCTCGATTTCGATAAACATGAGCCGTCTGTTTTTCCGAGTATCATCCGAAATCGTGGTTGGAAGGTCCGTTGGTCATGGCCATGGGGCTTTGAGCATGAGAAAGAGAGAGAGAGAGAGAGAGAGAGAGAGAGAAAGACCTCATACCCAGTATCCGGACCCCTACCATGAGCCACCAGCATCCAGGAGAAGTGGCCAGTCGGTTGCGACTAGAAGCAAATAAGAAAAGGCACCGAAGCCCCAAGAAAACCGACGATCGCCAGAGCCGAACTAGTGAAAAAGGCCCCACCGGGCAGGCAGGGAAAAGGAACCCTAAAGGATTAGTCACTCACTAAGGATGAAATACCGTCCCGACTGCAGGGGCACGAGGGGCAGTTTAAGGGGGCGCTACTGCAAGCCGACTGGAATGTAAGCCTCTCACATTAACTCTTTGCTCTCGCCTCTCGTAGCGAGCCGTGTCTCATGCTTTATTATTATATTATTCAGTCATGTTAAATTGACCACGGAAGAAGTGCAGTGCAATTGGATTCCACCTCCAAAGTACTCAGAACAGATGAGAAGTAATAAGTTAGCACTCTACGGAGTAGTATTTCTACCGGAGATAACCGAGGAGACATTCAACCTAACCCCAAGGACAAAATCCGTCCGTGATCCCGCTCCAAGTTTCGGTTCCCCCCCCCCTCATCTCTTCCCGAAATCGGTCTCAAGCCCAGGCACCATGGAACTCAAAATCTGATTGCTACTATTATTCCCCCGGTAAGCAAATCATGGCTACGGCCACTGTCCGGTGGCTTGCATGACCAATTAAGCCACTATCATCACAGGAGCTGTTTCGATTTTCAAGAGGAACGGATAATTGTCCAGAGATGTTCTGCATAGGTACTGTACATAATCAAGAAACAGGAATAGTACACTCGACTCGGAAACACTCCCTTGACACCCTAGGTTGTATCCCTCGGGAGGAGAATAGGAGGCCGCGCAGTCGGACAGTGATCTCCAAGCTGACAAGGGAGATCACTGGTGGGTGCACTGATGATGATCGTGGGACATGCCTCCCTGGTATTGCTGGTTTCTCCATACCCCATATACTACTGGATTTTGCTGTGGCCCGCGGGGAGGATTGAAGGTTTAAAAAGGACGCCTTGACAAATTGCCCATGTCAATCAGCATGCTATGCGCCTATGCCTCTAATGGGCTCCTGACAGCACTTTCCTTCTCGAGAGTTGATAACACATTTGATCTGCTACAGACTACAGTGCTCCTATAGTTCGCGAGTCAGGAATCCCCAATCCCCCCACGTACTTTGACTTTCGCAGTCTCCCACCTCTTGCCGTTCACACGCGGCCTTCGAGACTAGGGCCAGAGATTTCAAATTCTATTTCACCATCCCGTTCCCACTTTTGTCTCTCTTTTCACACGAGTCACTTATCATTCCCACGATCTTGGATGGAGAGTAAGTTCGACAAGAGACGAATCAAGCACCTAACTATTGCTCCGTCGAATCCCTGCTCAACTGCCTCGGTGGGACCGGTGAACTGGCACAGGGATCCAATCAGGGAGGGATCCATTTCCGTCTTCTCTCCAGCGGTTCAGGCTGGTTCACCTGCACCATGACCATGTCGTGCTCCCACGCCAATGCCCGTTCTGATTCAGTTCCATGAAAGTGCAGTAGGCCCCTTCCGGGCAAGCCAGCGGGTAAGAGACATAGTTAATCGGGTACACCTCACCGATGGCCGCCTATGATTGGGTTCCAGGCTCCGATTTAATATATGATTGTGGGAACGTATCAACAATCCACTCTTCAGCTGAAGTGCATCTCGAGCCCAGGCCCATTGCTGGTGGAGGCGGGCGCAATATATGATACGAGCTGAGAGGGGGGCTTTCCCGGCTGGGTTTTGAGTACTATCGTTTTTGCCTAGACTAGGTGCTGCTATACTCAGCCTGGAGTACTACCAGATCAACGTCTCCGTGGGTGGTGAGATGGATTACCCGATACCAGTCCGGTAGGGAGACATCAAATGCAACAAGCAACTCCAGAACAAGCCAGTATAACACTAAAATAGCTTCTATACTATAACCCATGGATCGTAGCCCCAAGATCTCGAATTACATCATCTGAGAGGCTTGTTGATTCTTCGGTCCGTCAACCAGACCGGGGATGAGGCTGCCCCGCTACATACAAAAACCCGGCTGAATTTTGAGATCCCAACTTTCGACACATGTGCAATTGGTGCATTTAAACGCTCTTTCATGACTCCTCGAGCCGTTTATTGTCCAGGTCGCGGATTTTGACCATATACCCACCAGATCAGCACACAGGATCCCGTATGGATGGATGACCTCCAGGCTGGAAGCGGCTGCTACACCCGATAGCATAACAAAGCCAACAGGTGTATCCTCATCCCCAAAGCGCAACAACTAGACCCAAACTCCCCAGCCCACACATGTAGTCACCACTCAAACAAGTAACCTCATAACTATAAGCATCAAGCTCCCAGCTACACATCCTGCCGAGACTACCTTATCTCCCTACCTACTATAAATCCTTCCCTGCGTGCATTGACCTCGACCACACTACACCTAAAGTACAGTACATGCAGCCCCCAACCCTACGCACAGGGCAGGCCGGCAGGCAGGCAGAAAAGCAGGGCCACCATCGGACTAAGCCTGGAGCTGGGGCTGATACAAGGCCATTCTACTGTAGTCCAGATGCAACCAAGCAAGGCGCCCCCAACCGGCCCCCATACATGTATAAACGGACCCCAACGAACGAAACACGTTCGTCAACCTCAAAACCAACAAAACATGGATGTCACCCTCAATCCCGCCACGAATAACCCTTCCCTGTCAGAAAGCAGTAAGCAGTAAGCAGCCAGCCATTAACTAACTTACCCACTGCTTATACACGGCATGATCGATCAACCAACCAAGCACAACACAATCCAGACATCATGATTTTCGGGGACGTAGGGATGAAGAGGACAGGATCTTGGCGATACGCGCAGTAGCGCCTGAAGGATGCTGCGATGCATCAAAAATGTGTGATTGCATGAATATGCACATGTACACAGAGTACAAGGATATGCTATAGTGAGAACCTAGGTAGTAAGTAGCGTGCAGGGGTCAACTCTCAGCACCAGGAGTTTCAGATCGTATGATGTGACTGGATGTATCAAGTTTCCGTCGCGTTCCTCCCAACGTCATGCCCTGCAGTGCAGTGCAGTGCAGTGGCCCTTCCTGCCATTCCCGATAGAGCATGGTTATGCCGTAGGTATACCTCGTAACGTTAGTAGGTACCTAGTTACTTCTCTTCACTTACAACCCAGCAACTCCTTCACGGCTATCACCGGATCTGCTCAACGAGATCTGACATCAGCGCATATACTGTAGTACACCAACCCAGCCTTCTCGAACCCAACATCCACATTGTCGGCTTCCCGTTCGTGAACCAGAGCGGATGTAGCACGACGGACTCCCCGAAACCCTTGATCTACTGGTATCCTGCATCCAGAGCCTCGCTCTCCCCTCGCTCTCTCTCTCTCTTCCTCTTCCTCTTCCTCTCACGGCCACCTACGAGGTAATCTGGGAGCCTAGCGTCTCGACTGTTACGCATCCAAAGTCTAGATTTCCTAGACTACCGTCCCCCAATGAGAAACAGTACAACGATCGATTGATTCCTATTGGCGCAGAACTCAATTCAGCGATCGACCGGATCTAGCCCTGCGCTCATAACGTTTGGCACCCTCTTACTTCAAGTGTTTCAGTTTGATGGAATGCTGCCAGGGAGGGGTGGACGTGTACGGAGTACTGTAGGGCACTGCATAATTACCCATGGCGTCTTGACGGAATGAGTATAATATGATCATGTGTTATAGCCAGCGTCAGTGTTTCGAAAAAATTCCTGGAAAGCGGCAGGCAGGGTGGCGAGTGGATGATGGCCTTATGCGTGGCAACTAAGATCGACCATGTCGGAAGGTAACTATATTCTTCTCGGATTATAGGCGCAATCCTGCCGGGATCAGGATTTGTGCTTACTTACTACTGGATGAGTGGTGGACTGCACTGTACGCCTACGAAGTTACGTTTGATGAGATATTAGAAGAATATTTCGGGTTCATAATCATTAGTGATGCTACAATCCCCGCTCGTAAGCTTTTGCGAAATACTTTTGATATTTAGGCCATGGCAAATGAAATAACAACGATTTAGGCCCTTTGGACATCTTTCGGCTCTTGGCCTTCTTTTTTTCACATTTTAGTGCTTTTTTGTTTCTCTTCGTGATTCTTCATGGACAGCGTATCATATTCATCGCGTCATGTAACTGGTCCAGTGGTCTAGAGCGTAAGCAAGCCCACTGGTGAAGAAGCTCAACTCGTCAGGCCCGATATTGACGGCATTGGAGGCCAGTCTCTCGGAGAGGATATTCTCAAGCTTGGTCAAGAGCTTCTGGTTAATGCTCCCACTCGGCCCGGTGGAGCTGCCCTTGACGTGGCTGAGGTCAACGAGTTCGTTGAACTCCTCCTCGGCGACGATGTTGCGGAAGACTCCGATAACGTGGTTGAGCGCGTTATCGATGTATGCACCAGTGGTTCCATCCTCGTCTAGGTATGGCGTGTGTGCACGACCAGACTTTATATCGTCAACGCGGCTGCGAAGGCGAGACTTGTATTGTGGGTCGGTAAGCCCATTGATGCCATTCATGTAGGCGACGAAGAGACTCTTGTCCAGGTCAACAACATCATCGGGGTGCTCTTCCGGGAGCTGCTTCAAAGTTTCCAGGATCAGACTATCGTCGTCCTCGCAGTCCTCAGGGTGGTCTCCAGGACCTGTACCCTCTTGTAGCCGCAGGCTACCAGACTTTCGTGCCATCTCCATCAACTCGTGGCAAGTCAGTCCAGCCTCGGGGCTTTCATCATCTTCCTCTAGCTCTGGCGCTTCGATATAGCATATGTTCGCATCGAACTGAACATGAGATCCGCCGAATTCGATGATAAACGAGCCGTCTAGTGACGCGACATCGTCGTCTTCCCCATCTGATTGAGACATGATGTCAGAAGCTTCATCCCAATCTGAGACTTCACACATGTCATCATCCGATTCGTCAAAACTGTCATAACCGTATTCGGATTCCTCAGATGCGTAGCCAGACTCTGCCTCTTCTTCGTCTTCTTCGATTTCTGAATATGGTCTTTTCAGAATCGGCTTCAAGATCGACTGGAGAGGCGCCGCTACCGCGGGCACCAGAGAGGGAGCCTCAAGAGTGTGGACAGCAGTGGTAGGTTTTGCGGGGGCAGAGTATTCATCAGAGGCATAGCAGCTGTCATGGGAGATGGAGATTTCCAATTGAGAGAATGTCGATGACAGGGACTCCCATGACTTCCTGTTCATGTTTTGGCTGCTCATGGCGATGCGATGAGTGTCCGGATGCTGGCCGGCTTCCCCGGATTTTCCGCGCCGGTAGCTCAAAGGACTGGTTTGTCCTGTGACAAGGATGTAAACGTACAAGGTTTAGATCCCACCCGTACCTGTCTTGGCGACTGGCGACTGGGAACAGAGATGTTGCTTTATAGAATGTGAACGAAGAAAGTTTTTTTCACGTTCAAACCGTGGCTTTCAAGGCCCCCAATGGTTTTGAAGGAGTCCATCGTGAAGCACAAAAACTGGGTGAAGATTTTCACCTAGTGAGAGCCGGCAAGGCCCTGAACAAAGATAACGTTGATAGACATGTTGATTTTCAATTAGTTCGCTTCAAAATTCAATGATGGTAGAGGTTGTGACACATGCACGCGTAGTCGTTCCAGTTGTATGCAATCAGATGACAGTATTTCAATCCTCCTTCCTTCAAAATGCGATCGTTTTTGATGGATGATTTCGAGTGATACATATAGACTGTACGACTGTAGACCGCTTGGTTTTAAGCGACTAGGTCAAAGGCGCAGTATGTGACGAAGGATCAAACACTGCGACGCGTGGTGGCTGAACGTTCTCCTCGGTATCGAGGGTGAGCAATGAAGATCTTGACGATGGGTGAGAGCCCAGGGAGCGGCAGATCGATTCTCAGTGAGTGAGGGGCAGGGACGGATGAACGACGCGCAGGCGCTAGAATCTTATGCCCACTTTTCGTTGGGGAGTGGTTGGTGATGGTGAAGCGGGGGCAAAGGGGCGAGGAGGCGAGGGGTAATGAGCAAAACCCGTCAGCAGTTCTCGCAGACAATATCTTTTTAAACAGGCATATGCAGCTCGACGTAACTTCCAGGTCGAGAAGAGTCTGGAAAAGATGAGAAATGGCACCGATGATAGTGCTTGGGCAGAGGAAAGGGATTAGAAACAAGGCGAACCTCGACTGTCAGATTTCCGTCATCACCGGGCACCTGACTTGGGCTTGTTGCCTCTCCTTCCGGCCTCCTTGTCGGCCCGGCTTCGGAAATTCCCGGAAGGGTTTAGCGTACAGGGATTGCACTCGCAAATCTGCCGGATCGTCGTCATCCTGAGTCAGCACGGCAAATATCAAGTCCGAACTGCAGTACTCTATGCAGTCCACTCTGCATCGCCGTGACCACGATTTGTCTATTGATCTGTCAATTCAATTTATTCTTTGGCTATAGATGATCCCGGGATATCGAAGATCTATTTGTGCAAAATTGAAGGGTCTTCATTAGGTTACCAGTCGGTGGGTGGACCTTGCCGTTCCTGTGGATGCGTAGAGTCCGACTATATATCTCAAGACGACCCATTAACTACCTTTGGGAGAGAAATTTACCACCCCTAATTCCAGTACTCCTTGGGATATCATATTTGGTATTCGAATTCATTGCGATACCCGGCAGAACGCCATAGACCCATTCTGCTTAGCTCAATAACTATAGTACATACACTCTAAAGTAGGTAATATACAATGCCGCTCGAGCTGACACAAGGTGTTTGCAAGTCCCTGCATCAAAGAGTTCTCGCCATGCAAGACCGGTGCCTAATGCGCCTCTCGTTATACAACGGCACGGCGCGATGACTCCTCGATCTGGCGAGGAACGCTGATCAATTCTCATGATCTCTGAAGAAAAACGTAGAGAGAGTGGAGAGGGTGATTTCTGCAAGCACCAAGACGGCCATCCAGGATCTCAGCAGCTTTGAAGGATGCACGGCTAGTCTGGTAGCATAATTCGCATAATGCACGCGACCTGGGATCGTAATCGATGACCAGGGCGATTAAGGTCGAAGTTCGAAGCAACAAACCAGCTCATCTCTGGGAAGAGGTCGGATTCCAAGAATCCGGCTGCCACTTCTCACCAGGTCCACTGGCGGCCTTTGCCCAAGGGTCTTGTTTTGAAGCTGGTTTCTCCTTCTTCTCGTTCCCAGGAGCAGCAGGGGTAGCCTTGTTAGCCTGCGCCTCATCCTTCGGAGGGTTCAACGTCGCGTCGCTGGTCTGGGTAGCAGGGGCGGGTTGCTGAGTCTTCGGCTTGTCGAGATAAGATACCTTGCTCGCCCATCGTTCATCAGCGAGACGAGCCAACTCCTTGAGTTGAATCTGTCGGATGATGTCCTGTTGCTGTTCTTCGATCGACGGAGGCTCCGCTCGTACGTATCGAAGCCATTGGTGCCATTGCGCTGGACGAAAGAACAGGTCAGTTTGCTGGGGGACTTGTCTTGGGGGTTGAAAGCGCCACTGCAGGCTTGACCCAACGTTGAGGAAGCACTTACGGCTGACTTGGACATCGGAGAGGTGGGTTTTGGGGTCACATTTAACGATGCGACGATACCGATTCGCGTTCAGGGCATCTTTGAATTCCCAATAGGTATTTCCCTTCAAATCATGGCCTGGGGTGCGAGTCTCAAAGTCAGACTGTTGTTGTATTCATGCGGTTTGATGGAGCGGACATACCGACGAGAAAGGAAGTGCGCCACGGCAATTTCAGGCTCTTCCACTTGAACCAGAGACTGTTAATGGGACTCATTTGCCCGACGCAAACCAGATAATGCCTGGGAGCAAAGATGTCAGGCAGCAACGGGGGCGTGTGTGAGATGAGATGCGGTCTTTCATCCACTCAGAAGGGAGTGATTTGGGATGGCAATAATCAATTATTATTATTGCGGCCGGAACGTCATCGGCGCATACCGGCCGGTAACTTACGAGCAGGACGAGAAAGACCGTATTGGCGGCGTATTACGAGGCCAAGATTGCCGCATTCCGCCTGTTGCCCTCGTTTTCCCTTTCGCCGTGCGACTGACTGACTGACTGACTGACACTGACTCTCTTCTCTACTTTGACTTTCCTGTCCTCATCGGTCTGCTCTGAGAGTGTCTCTTTTCTTCTGCTGACTTGCATAACATAATCCTCCAATTCAATCATTCTGCACTGGTCCCTTCGCATTCCATTCCAATCTCGCATCCGTTCGATCCGCGAGTCTTCTCCTAGAGTCCTAAGCCACCTCCCCCCCCTGTGACGTACCGCGGTTCGTCCCACTCGCAGTTAGGCACTATATAAACAGAAACCCTACACTGCCCCCCCTTTCCACCCCTATTTCAGCGCTGACTCGCCATCTTCGGTTCTTCTGGAATCTTTCTACATGCTTCACACTTCTGTGAGCAAACACGGCTGAGTGTGGTAATCCAAAAAAATGGCCTCCGTCACATCCCTGGATAAGGACTTGCGCAATCTGCGCTTGTCCCGCTATACCCCGCAAGCAGCCGCGGAAGTCCGCAGCTGGATCGAAGAAGTGCTCCATGACAAACTCCCGGCAGGGGATCTTCTGGAAGCCCTGAAAGATGGAGTGGCTCTTTGCAGGTAAGACCCGGAACTCTGTCCGATGAAGAACAGCCTTCTCCCGTATGGGAATCGCAAACTGAACGTCAGCCCGCTCACAGACTCGTAAACCTCGCCGTATCGCCGGGCGTCAAATACAAGCAGTCATCCATGCCGTTCGTGCAGATGGAAAACATCTCGCACTTCCTGCGCGCCTGCCAAATGCCTCCTCTCAGCCTTCCCCCGCATGACGTATTCCTGACTGTCGATCTCTACGAGGCCAAGGACCCCGCCCAAGTGCTCCAATGCCTGACCTCGTTCAGCCGACGGGCCAACGCTCTCCAGCCCAGCAAATTTACCTACGCCATTGGACCGCAGTCCAAGGGCAGCTCGCTCAGTCCACATGTGACAGGGTCCAGTCAGGGAGGTGCCTATACCCCCACCAAGTCGCTCGGGTTGGGCGGTAGCAATTCGGGTCGTTCCAGCCCAGCGCGATCTCCGCAGCCGGTCAGCACCTGGAGCAAGAAGTCGGACGAGCACAGCACGGCCCCGGCCTGGAACATCCACCAATACGGCTACATGGGCGGAGCCAGTCAGGGCAACCAGGGTGTTGCGTTCGGCGCGCGGCGCCAGATCACCACCGCCGCGCCCCACGTCCCTAGTCTAGCGGAGAAGGAGAAGCGCCGGCGGGACGAGGAGGAGAGAAGACGGCTGCAGGAGCTGGAGGACCAGCGGCGCCGCCAACAGCAGCAGGAAGCCGAGGAAGAGCAGGCCCGTCTCGAGGAAGAACGCCGCTGGGAGGAAGAGACGGCGCGGACGCGCGAACAAGAGCGCCTGCAGGTGGAGGCGGAGCGCCAACGCTGGGACCAGCAACAGCGCCAGTGGCAAGAAGAGGAGGACAAGCGCCAGCAGGAGGAGCGCGAGACGGAGGCACGGCTGGAGAAGGAGCGACTCCAGCGCCGCGAAGCGCAGGACAGCCGCCTCAACGGCCAGTTCCTCAGCCAGTACCAAGCCAGCATGGTCGCCGGGGCCGGCAAACCCGCCGCGACGTCGGAATCCCAGGAGCGACACCGCATCCGCCAGCTGGAGCACGAACTGGAGCGAGCCAAGGAGCGCGAGCGGCAGTACGAGCGCGAACGGGACGATGCCACCCGCGCAAAATCCCCGGAGACCGCACGGAGCCCGCGCGCGGTCCCCGTGCCTCCAAAGCCCAGCTACGATCTCTCCTCCCTCGAGCAAGAACGCAGACTCCTCCGCGGCGAGTGGCAGAAGCACCACGACAACGACCAGCAAGACAACAACAACAACAACAACAACAACCTCCCCACTCCCATCGCCGAGAGCCCCTCCAGCCCACCCCCTCCCTCCCTCCCCGCGCGCCGCCCTCTCCCCGAACCCACCCCCACCGAATCAAAACCCCCGGCAATGCCCCCGCGCCCTCTCCCCGATCCAGCAACCTACACCTCTCCGCCTCAATCCCCCATCCGCAAACCCGTCCCCGTCCCCGTGCCTGCCTCCCCCTCAACAAGAGTCGACCGCTTCCTCACCACCAACAACCCCCCCACCTCCCCAAAACCGACCACCCACCGCCCAGCCGACTACACGACGACCGCCGAGGTCGACGCCGAGAACAGCCGCCGCCTCGCCGCCCAGCAGAAGACCAAGGCCGGCGGCTGGGCCTCCAAGTCCCTGCTGGAGCGCGAGATGGAGCGCGAGCGCGAGCGCCAGCGCGAGTGGGAGGAGAGCCAGAAGCAGACCCAGGAGGCCGCCGCCCGGGGACTCCGCGACGGCTCGCTGGGCTCCGGCCCCGGCCAGGGCGCCTGGGACGTCCACCAGTACGGCTACATGGGCGGCGACAACCAGAACCGCGGCGGCCCCGGACTCGGGGTCGGCGGCGCCCGGAGGCAGATTATTGGGCCGCGGCCTGCGCCTTGATCTTGTTGCTTGGAGGAAACTCACTGTGCCTGTTTAGCATTCTCGGAATGCGTCTGCGCTGGGGATGTGCTTGGAAATGTAGTTGGTAGGTAGCGGTTGGCTAAGATCTGGTGGATGTTTTGGGAGATCTAGTGATGGATCGATGGAGGGGATTTAGCTTACTGAGGATGTTCCTTATCTTATACCCGTTTTTTTTTTCTGGCTGTCGGCATGATAGCTACTATTTGGAATTGATGTGCATTTAGTATGCGGTTTGTTGGTTTTTGCTTTCGTTGACTGGTCCAGTTGGAAAGGAACCCTGGCTTGGTGGGGTCTGTAGTACGAAAGTTTTCTTCAGATGAATGATAAGTAAAGGGAAGAACGAGAATTAAAAATGTAATTCAGATCCTCAAATCAAGAAACATCAGCTCTGCTACAATCACAACAACAGGGTATCTATCCGACTATTCGAGAAGAAGCACTTCCTAGGTCAATTCGCCCGGAATATAAAAGACAACAACAACAAGAAGAAGAGACAAACACGATCAACAAACACAGGCTAGGCACGACAAGACAAATTACAATTGCCCGACTCGCAGATGCAAACGCTTAGGACCACCACCCACAATCAGTCTTCTCGCTGGGAACCAAGCCTTTCAAACCGTGGCAACCGTCATCCCATGATCCTCATTCCCCTGCGTCAGCGGAATGATCTCTTCGACCAGGAACCACAGCCTCCGCCCGCTCTCCAACAGCCACGCCCACTCGATGTCGCCCGCATGCAGGTCGGCCTCGCGCTTCTTCCTCCCATCGTGGATCGGGCGCTGCTCGCGGGCCATGATTCCCTCGCCGACGGCCTCCTTCAGCGCCGGGGTCACGGTCAGCATGTCGTTGTCGGCGAGCAGGATGATCAGCGTCTCCAGGGTGATGGAGATCTTGGCGTTGTCGGCGGGGGAGTTCGTGTTCGCCCCGTAGGGCAGGAAGCAGTATTCCAGCTTCGCTTGGCTGAGGTACTCGTCCGCCGTGTCGGGGGCGGCGGACTCGCGCATGCGGAAGAGCAGGTACTCGCAGAGGGTGGTGAGGGCGGCCGGGGGGAAGTGCGGGAGGGCGGTGGGGCTGATGAAGGCCTGGTACGAGGGGAGGGGCAGGTGGCGGATGTTCTCGGCGAAGAGATGATACAGCTCTTCGAGCGGGATGAAGTGTTCGGGGATGGTTTCGGAGACGGTGGAGAGGAGGTGCAGGAGGCGCTGGCGGAGGGTGAGCGAGCGCATGCCGCCGAGGGTGCAGGGATCGGCGTGCATGGTGGCGAGGTGGCCGGGGGGGATCTGGTCGTCCGGGACATAGCGTTGAGAGGTAGGATCGGAGTATTTGAACGTGCCTGTAGGCGTGCCGTAGTTGTCGGGCGTCAGGTAATTTGCCGGAGTGGTGAAGATGGTGGGTTCTGGGCGAGTTTCTTGCGGGCGAGTACCTCGTCGGGCTCGTTTCGATTGCCGGAGGGCAACACCACCACCACCGTCTCGTCTCGACGAGGCTGGAGTCCCTGCGCCGCCGCGACCGCGACCACGACCACGGCCGCGTCCTTGTTGCGGCCGTGGCTCGGCGTCTTCGACAATAATGTCATCTGTCGTGGTGGTATCGTCGGCGTCAACACTGTCTTCGTCCTCGTCGTCGTCGGTCAGATAGTCCCCATACTCTTCTGCGTCGATGTTGACCTGCATCCCGCGCTTCTTGCTATTGTGGCTGGACTTCTTGTGTTTGCCATGCTTGAGTTCATTCTCAAAGACCACGCGGAACTCGTTGGAGGTTGTAGCCCGGCCATCGGCGAAGATAGATTTCACGATTCGACGATTCCGGCCGTAGGTGGCGCTAGCGCCTTCGATGTAGCGCACGATGAGGCTGTCTTTGAGTATCTGATCGGCTGCATCATTCTCTTTGGCCCTGGTCTTTGACCTGCGCTTCGCAACGTTCACCTCGACGGCGTTCGTGCTGGAGTCCTTGATCTCTGTCCACTGTTTATGTCGCTCATTCCAGTCACCTTCGAGCACCTCGCACATGAACTCGAGCCAGATCCGCCAGTGTTCCCAGCGCTCGTGGTGTAGAACAGAGCAGTTGAAAGCCCAGCCGACGGCATGCCAGAAGTCCTCCGCACGGGACCAGATGGATTGTGATTCCCCCAGGTCGAGGTTTATCGGCGTCATGATATCCTCTGTCGCATCCGGCGAGGTGGGCGCGTCGTCGGCCCCGCGACGTCGGCGGCCATGGCGAGATGTTTCGAAGTGCGTGAAGGAGAACGCGAGGCCGAACTTGGCGGCTCTGGGCCCAACGAGCGCGTTTGTGAGGCGGAGGAGACGGAGGGATGCATTGGGGGCTTCTTCCTCCTCGGCTGTCTTTGCGCGAGTGGTCGTAGAGGGGTGTACAAGGAAGGTCGCGGCGACAGCCAGGTGCTGAGGAGGTGGAACGAATGCTGGCGTGGAAGCAATGGTACCGGCAGTGAGAATTTCTAATAGAAAGTTAAGAGCTTGTGTATCTGGTAGAAAATGTGAGCATCCGCAAACAAAGAAGTAGATGGACTGTGTCGAGCGAGACATACATAGCTTCTCTTCGAGGAAAATGCCAGAGTGCTGGACCAGCTCGAAGGGAAGCGGCTTAGCAGGGCGATAGAGAGGCATAGATGCCTCTGCACCTTCTAGGATAGCCATCAAAATAGCTGCAGAGGATGATGTATGTGAAGATTGGAGAGGAAGAGCTGCGATGCGCGGAGAGAAAGAATCGCGCCGATAAAGGCTGATAGCCGGTCAAAGAAACGCGGCGCTTATCGATAGCCGCATCGGACGTGTTTGCTTCTGCCGCATTGCATGTAGCCAGTTGTATTTGTGTATATAAGTATGAGATGAATCAAGTTTCGAACAGCTTGTTGGACAATGGTATGACCAATCATCTTCGAATGCAATTATCTTCAAATGTCATAGAGTATGGCAGAGAAGTAAAAAGAAAGCAAACCGAAAAAGAAGTGGCGCTGCCCGGAATCGAACCGGGGCTGGCACGGCCACAACGTGACGTCATACCACTAGACCACAGCACCCGTTGTTGTGATGTTGGCCTCAATTTAGAATCCTGTGTACAGGTTTTGATGCCAGACTGTTACATAGGTATACATAATATAGTGCACATCAGTGCCCATTAGACGGCCTTTTGCCAATTACCATGCTTAGGTCTCTGGAATCTGTATGTGTACAGGTGTGTGTATATTTAATTCTTGCTTCTGGTAGCCAGATGGGCGGCGTGGTGGCAACCTCAACTCACAAATTAGCCTGGCGTAGTACCTTTATACATGGATGTTGAAGTACATACATGTCTAACAACCCCAAACCTTTCACCCTTCCTCAGCAGCCTCTACAGTTGATGAGTTGCTCGTTATATGCAGGTAACACTCTATACATCTGCTATCAAAGATCCGCTTCTCTGGTCTTGGCGCATTCATCCAGTAAAGGACACCCTGAGTACAGTCAGTTTTGCATCATATATCAAAAATAAGGTCCATGAGCAACGATCGATGCGAGTCGGCATGTTTCCGGCAATGGGGGCATCAGAATGTAGAAGAGTTCAGGTCTCAGCAAGATGTTGATCGCTCACGTGATGTTCATACCGGCGAAATACTGTTGCCATGAAGGCTGTAGGCAGTTTACGCCCGTGTCCATAGTGAATGATTGCTTTCTTGTTTTGAATGTGTATAGCATGTGAAGATGCGGGACGCGTCCCCACTGAGCTTAGTGCAGAAAACATTCTTGAAAGAAGTTATCATTCTCATCAATCTAACACCCACTCTCATGGTTATGAAGAAGTGAGATCCCACTGCCAATGTTACAAGAAGAAGCCGTTCTCACTGATTATCTACCTTACTCTAGGAGCATCAGATCACCCTGAGTACCTTCATATCAACGCTGTTCACAGATTCTGCTAGCTGATCTTCAAAGAAGGTTGGCTTGGATTTACTGCTGTGCATCAAAAAGTGACGACATCTGCAAGACTGATCGCTATTCGGTCTTGGAACTCGTACTGGTAAGATATCTTTTAGTGAACTGAGTGTCTTGTTGAGCCGACTCATCAAGCCTATACCCCATATCACAACAGTCTCGAACACATTTCACCAGAGCGATGGCAACAAGAAGTTCTTTCCCCAAGTTTCCAAAGCTGCCCGCTGAGCTTCGTCTCAAGATCTAGGAGGAAGCCCTACCCGAGCTCATCGACCAGCCCCTCTACTTCTACAGCCAGCGCCAGCGCCAGACTACCCACGCCTACGACACCCTCGCGGCGGTGGTGCCCCAGAGCATCGACGTCCAGCACGGCCAAGTGCGCCCCCGCACGGTCGAGCTCCCGCACTTGTTCGTCAACTGGGAGGCTCGCGGGACCGCCCTGTGCTGGGTGGGCGAGCAAAACGCGGAGACTCTCTCGTCGTGGATGAGACCGAAACAGTCCCCGTCCCACCACCACCACCACCACATCCTCGTTCGTCCCTTCTCCCCGGAGACCGACACCCTCTACGTCCCCGCGAAGCTGTGGGATGGGTTCATCCAGGAGAAACGCAAGACGGAGAGTGTGCCCGGATACCGCGAAGTGGGTGGAGTAGTAGCACGAGAACCGACGTTCATCACCTTTCCGGCCCCCGAGCGGGCGCTGCGGTCGGTGGCGGTGCCGATGAGGCTGCTCTAGGAACATCCGGGGAGCCTGGTCGGCGCCTTTTTCCGATGGCGGGGCGTGAAAGTGGTGTATCTGGTTGTCCATGAACAGGAAGATGAGGAGAGACAATTTGAGAGTGATGCGATGGAAGGGAAACAGCCGTGGAGGTTCGAGGTATCGGAAGCCACGCTGAAGGGGAGGTGGGTTCCAGCGAACCGTGAAATGGAATGGGAAGCCAGCGGCAGCAGCAACAACAACAACAACCAAGAGAACGACCCCGACTTGGAGAAACTGAGTACGGTTATGCTCGGAACCCAGCCTTCGTTGACTGCGCTCTTCAGGGAGTGGAACCCTTCGGTTCACAGGGATTTTAGGGTCCAGCTTATACGTGTTACCAGACAGCGTACGTGAGAAGCTGCTGATGCTGGGGCATGAAGTCCGTGGGCACTTGCTGTGGTTGGTGTGGTTTAATTCCTCTGCAAGGTGTTTCTAGGCCGTTGACTGGTCACTGGGGTTGATGTACAGTAGTTGCGACATGCCAGTCCCTACACAAGCAAACACTGAGCATTTAAGTCCGACGTCAAAGCCAATTCTCATCCGTAGTTGTCCTACGCCCTGCGCCTGATGCAGTCGAGCAGACGTCGTACACGGCTTGCATGCACGACGGCAATGCCGTGAAGAGTAAGTAGTGACATTTGAGCATGTCGTCGTATCTCTGGAAGTTTCAGCTCCCGACCGCCAATTGAGAGCTCTGCAAAGCGAGTAAAACAGGCTTGTTGCAGCGCGACCAACGCACACGTTTGCTTTGAGTCCGGACTTTTGTCTGCGAAGCTGGAGGACGTTGTCTATGGAAGACGTCAATGCGGAAAAGCGGCTCGGCTCGTACCTTGACATGGGCAGGTACTGCATAACTTACAGTCTTGTCACTTGTCACTTGTCACTGTTTGCCGCTGCCGAGCCGCAACGATGAATGTGACCAGGTCAGAAGCTTGCCAGCGTTGGTCAATTGGAAGACTAAATCTCCGAGTGTTACTGTAGGATCGAGAATCGCCCGTGGGAAGAAGAGCTCGGACGGTTTGCAGCATCTCACGTGGTTCAGCATCGCGCATAACCTTAATTTCTGAGGTGCAGCCATGGGTTGCACCGGTCTCATCGACTCCAATCTCGAGCCTCTAAGATGTTCTGGTTGAGGTGAACGACGATGGATGTGCTCCGGGATGAAGAAAAGGAGGGGAAATGTGCTTCCCTTTTGCTCAATGGCACAAACCGGGGGAGAATGGCGAGTGTATCAACATAAAAGCCCGGGGTTGGGCTCTTTCCCTAGGAAATGAGGGAGCACCTCAAGTTTTGAACAGCTACTTGAAGAAGCAAGCATGATCTGGAATACTTTTCTACAACTGGTCGTCCTTGTGCTAGGCACCCTTCAAGCAGTCTGGGGTTTCCCCACTGTCGAAGTTGAACGCGATGAGCCCCAGGCCTCAGACCGATATGTCTTTGCCCACTTCATGGTACGTCAAAGTGTCTCGCCCCTTCCACTAGTCAAGTCCATCTCATCAAAGCTAAATCCCCATATCCACAGGTCGGGATCGTCGAGAACTACCAAGTCGAGGACTGGATCGCCGACATGCAAGCGGCGCAAGCGATCGGCATCGACGCCTTCGCGCTCAACTGCGCCAGCATCGACAAGTACACCCCAACCCAACTGGCGCTGGCCTACCAGGCGGCGCAGCAGGTCGGCTTCAAGGTCTTCATCTCCTTCGACTTCGCGTACTGGACGAACGGCGACACGGCCAAGATCACCGCCTACATGCAGCAGTACGCCAGCCACCCGGCGCAGATGCAGTACCGGGGCGGCGCGGTGGTGAGCACCTTCGTGGGCGACAGCTTCAACTGGGGCCCCGTGAAGCAGGGCACCTCGCATGCGATCCACGCGCTCCCGAACCTGCAGGATCCGGCCGAGGCGTCCAGCAACCGGGCGCGGGCCGCGGACGGCGCGTTCTCGTGGTACGCCTGGCCCACCGACGGCGGCAATAGCATCATCAGGGGTCCAATGACGACGATCTGGGATGATCGGTACGTCAAGGACTTGGCCGGGACGACTTATATGGCGCGTGAGTTTTCAGCCTCAACTCTCTGACTTGGCTTATAATATGTGCTTGCAAGGAGGGTTGGGTTAACGAAAGCGACAGCCGTCTCGCCCTGGTTCGCCACCCACTTCAACAGCAAGAATTGGGTCTTCATCTGCGAGAACCTGCCGACCCTTCGGTGGGAGCAGATGCTGACTCTCCGGCCCAGTTTGGTCGAGATCATCTCGTGGAATGGTAAGCACATACTCCACAAGCCCGGAGCAGGACAGCCCCCCACTGTCGATATACATACCCACTGAGTTATAGACTACGGCGAATCGCACTACATCGGGCCCTACGCCGCCAACCACAGCGACGACGGGTCCTCCAAGTGGGCCAAGGGCATGCCGCACGACGCCTGGCGGGACCTGTACCAGCCCTACATCGCGGCGTACAAGTCCGGGGCCGCCACCCCGCGGATCGAGAAGGACAGCCTGGTGTACTGGTACCGGCCCACGCCGAAGGGGGTCTCGTGCCCAGAGGACAACCTCGGACCCCCGAACGGGATCTCTATGCTCGGGGACAGTATTTTCGTGGCGACCATGCTGACGAGCCCCGCGACGCTGACGGTGACCAGTGGGCCGAATGGCCCCGTGCGCATCGAGGTGCCCGCGGGGATCGTGACGTCGAACGTCTCGATGGGGGTGGGCCCGCAGACGTTCACCGTCAGTCGCAATGGGCAGACGATTCTGAGTGGGCAGGGCGGGTTGGCGGTGCAGGGCCAGTGCAACAAGTATTACAACTTCAACGTGTATGTGGGGAAGGTTGCGGGGGTTTAATTGTGTTGTTGGCTGTATCTGTCCCTGGTCATTGAATCTAGGAGGCTAGCTAGGAATGCCGCTGGAAGGATGCCGCGATGATCGGGTTTAGTCTGACCTGCTTAAATTGAATATGAGAGTCTTTATGACTATATCGCATGCCACATAAGCTATCTATTTTACAATAGTAATTGCACTTGAATAGCATACGTGTGTGTGCTGATAGAATACTAAATACACCAAAGCTTGAAGCCGGAGTCCGAAAAAACTAGGGCTAACCACCTTTCTCGTATACCACAACCCCTCGTATAGGGCCCCGAAGGCAAACCCCACAGAAAGCAACCTACAACAAAAAAAAACATATATACTCAATCCAAAGCAGACCGATACAAAAACCAGTCTCAAACTATACATCACTGAAGAATCTTCCATCTCCAGCGACAGACATATTTTTTTGATTTTTCCAAACTTACATTAGAACTCCCCACGAAAACGAGGGAGATTAGGAAGGTAACCATCAAGACAGCCCAAGGCATCCCGAAACACGAGCTACCTAGTCATTATCCACCCATACCCAACGACCGGGATACAAGCCTCCAAAGTCTACTCTACTAGACACCTGACCTCAACAGTAAGGTAAGGAAGGGGCAAGGAGACCCAGGAAATCAAACCTCCACCCGATCCATCAACAGCCCCCACACCCCGCCCTGGGGATCATTATCCTCGAGCATCCACAGCCACCCCTCGACCATGCGCACCGCCTCAGGCGTCGGGTCGCCCTGGCCCTCGCCGCAGTCCGCCATCTCCAAGCCGCGGGTGTCGGCGTCGGCGTCGGCGTCCACCTGGCCGTTCACCTGCTGGCCACCACCCCCCGGCGGCGGCGGCGGAGCTTCAAAGGAGAAGTAATCCCGCTCCAGCAGCTCTCTGTAGAACCGCATGCGGTCGTCCCAGAAGATGACGCCGCCGAAGCGCCGCGCCTCGGGGTAGGGGTAGCGGTCGCGCAGCAGGCGCATGCGGAGGAGGAGCTCGGTCCTGGCCCGCGCCCAGCCGTCCTCCGAGTGCAGCGCGGTGGTGGTCTCGCGGGCCCGCCGCACGACCAGCCGGAGGATGGTCTTGCTCGGCCAGGCGTCGAGGAACGGCCGCCATCGGAAGTAGCAGGCCATCTCCGTGTCCAGCATGGTGGCGCCAGCGCTGCTGCTGCTGGGGGTGGTGCGGGTGCTGGTGCTGGAGTAGGACATTTTGGGGGTGGGTCTGGGGGTGCAGCAGCTAAAGAGGGGGAGGGGGATTTTTGGTTAGTTCTTTGGGGAACTGGGGGATTTGGGCTAGTTTTAGAGAGTCAGGTTTCTTGGGAAAACCTAGGGATTTGGGGTTAGGGTTTGTGGATAGTGGGATGGAGCTTTAGTGTTGGCATGGTTGGCGCGGATTTATATAGTTTTGGGATGGAAATGGGGTTGTGGAGTTCTCCTGTATAATCTCGTTATCTCTGGCTTTGTGCAAAGGAAAGAGCTTGGGGATTGGGGGGTTCGTGATTGATAAAGAAGCTGAGTTGATTGTGAGCTGAGTACAACAAGTGCCGGTTAGGAGGGATAAAGAATTTCGATCGATATTCTCCGGGATGAGATTATCGAAACTGATTTTGAGTTGAAATACGAAATTCGGAGTGCATGCTGCTGCGACTTCTTCCAAGACGACACAAGCGCGTGTACCGCTTCGCTGAAGAGTTGAGATTTGCCAAATCTCGCAAAGGAAACAGAAGGACACCAACATCATTATCATCGGTCCACGGCGTCGACCCCTTTTTCTATTCCCAGATCAGTGACCCCGAGGCTACCTTATCTTCGAACTGCGGACTTGACCCTGCAGACCTACTCACAACAGAACTACCAAGACAATGCACCAGGAAGTAATAATGGATGGGATATGTAGGTAGGTAGTGTGTAGTAGTGATGATGGTGAGGATAATCTGGAAGCCAAGGAGAATAGGAGTACAATAACCCCTCCGTTTCTCCCCTATTTTTGGGTTCTTCATCTAGTGTAGCCCGCCGTCCCCTTTCCACGCCATCGCCCAATTTTCTTCTTCAAAGATGAAACCACAATTCAATTGTCTTTCCACCCCAGTTTCCAGTTGCAGAACGAGGAACCCCCCCGACAGTCCTTGCCTCCCCACTTCGCATGGAAGGTACCCTGGAAAAACACACCGGTACAAATTGGACAGATGAGTGCCCCACTTGGTCTTCCCCAAATGTGGACGGAGGTCCTAGCCCGATGGCTGACAGTGTGGGGTGAGTGGAAGAAAAGGGGGACATGAAGGTGATGACAGCGAGAGACATGGGGGAAAGACAACATAGACGCCAAGTGGAGAATATTAGCAAGAATGGAGAAAAAAGATAGGAAGGAGGACAAGTCTGGAAAATGAGAACATGTGAGTTGGATTAAGATAAGGAAATTCGATGAACCGGAGCAGAGAGCGACTACTCCTCCGGGATGTCAGAGAAGAGGCCTATTCGCAAACGGTGCGACTGGCAGAGAAAGAAGGTTAGTACTGCGATACTGCCGCCTGAGACGGTGGGTGGGGCCCAACTCACAAAGGGCAACTTCGGGATGACCACCCCCAGCGTAGCAAGGAAGTTGATGGTGAAATACGTCAGGTCGTAGTGGGTGTAATGCGTGCTGAGAAGGAAAAGGCAGATGGGCACGCAGAGCAGGAACTTCTTGGTCGGAGTGTATTGGTCGCCATTGTCAATCTGCTCCCACATGTTGAGGTTGTCGTACGCCCCGGCGTTGAACTCGAAAGGGATGCCCCGCACCCAGTGAAACATGAGGAAAGAGCCGAACATATAGCTGATGTTGGTGAGGGTCCAGGAGGTTTCTTGCGAGACACCAGGAATAATGTCGAAGAGGATCTTCAGAGCCACGATCAAGACGAAGTGAATGGTCCAGGCACCTAGATTGTCGTCGTACAAACCGTCAGCCACCTCGTTTATTCTGTGCTTGACTGCCCGCTGAGATTCGCGCCCGCCTTCATGTGTGTGTGTGTGCAAACTCACCCTTAGCATTGACCCAATTCGCATTCAGATTGGGGAGGGCAGCCTGGTCGCTGGTCCGCTCGATGGACTCGGGAGGCTCCTGATAAATGATACTGCTCGACCGTCTCCTCCGCCCAGCCTTGCCTGAAGACATATTGGAGTCCGGAGTCAGCCGGTGTCGGCCAGTGTCGACTTCCGGAGGGAAGGAGATGGCACGGGGAACGAGTAGAGAAGACACTTTGGCGGTATTATCGGAAGAGCAGGAGGAGGGGATAGTCGGAAAGGAGGAGGAAGAGGAGGAGGGAATCTTGGCACGAGGAAAGAGAGAGTCGCAGGTTGAGGAGTAGGTTTCAAAGAAGTGGGATGGATAGAAATCGAGAATAAGAGGAAAAGAAAAGAGAGGGTGAGGTAGTTTGATCGAGGCAGACAACAAAAGTAAGAAAGAGAGATAGTTAGAGAGTAAGTAGGTTAGCAAGCAGGATGGGGGATGGCCGATGTTCGACTGGACTTTCGATTAGAGGCGACGGCGAGATCTGAAGAGGATCCCCGAATGATGGATGGTTGGTCACGGGAGCACCGGTACCGTATTCCCGTTACCGCTTGTATTCTATTCTGCTAACCAGCTCAACTCTCAGCAGAATCACAATTAAGATGTTACTGCGAGTAATCTTACAATCATGTAAAACAGATAAGGACTTGGAAAGGATTCTGAATCTAGCAAAAGCAAAAGGACACCAAGTACGATATGGCTACGTCCCGAGATGCAGAAGGGGGAAAAAAAGAAGATGACAGATGCCCCGATCTCCGAGGAGCTCCAGGAGACAGACAGACAGAGAAGACTTTAGGTTGTCAATGGAAAACCGAAACAGAAACCGAACGGAACAGAACAGACACAGACACAGACACAGACAACTAAGAATAGATAAAGCCAAACGAACCGACCGAACGGTCGGTCCGCAAAGAATCCAGACGCGGACAGAAGTCATTAGTTCCTCGGCAATCGATGCAGAGGCATGGTTCTAGACGCTCATCGATCTGCTGCAGGTCAAACTACAAGTCATATATAAGTTGAGTTAAGAGTCTGGGAAGCAAATGATGCATAGGGAAGTACGTAACCACCAAAATCGAACAAGAAAATAAGATAAGGTAATAGCAATGCTACGGGCTAATAATAAAGTGCCATCCCAATTGGGTAAGGAGAGAAACGGCGGACGGACTTCTGCAGTGGTTCTTACCGCCTTCCGTAAATTTCCCCAATCATGCTTCACAACTTGAGTCTTCGCGTTGCACAAAGCACTTTCGACTCTTCTCCAGTCATCATCCTCAAACCCAACTCTCCCCCCCCCTCTCCTCGCCACTGACGTTCCCTTCTCGCAGCATGTCTGCTCCCCCGTCCGATGACGGTGACTCCCGGACCGCCGCCGTTGGACAGTTGAATGGCTCCTCCATTCGCTCCTCCAGACAAAGCTCCCACGACCCGAACCCGAACCCTCGCAAGCGGCAACGACGCAATGGCGCCGCGGACGATCGCAAGGTCCAGGATTTTGTGCCGCAGGGGGCGACCTTCAGCGCCAACTCGCTGGAAGTAGATCCCGACGACGAGACGTCTTCCTCCGGCTCCGACAGCGAGTCTGAGGGCACCAGTTCATCCGAAGAGGAAGGTGATGCGGCAGACAAGCCGCAGTCCGCCGCCGCCGCCGGCGCAGCAGCAGCACCACCCGTCAGTTGGAACAAGGGCAGCAAAAGTGCGATTCGGACGTCACTTCGCGGGAGCCGCAATGCGACCGAAGAGAACCAGAAGCCGGCTGCTTCGAAGTTCGACGCGGTCAATGACAAGTTCTGGCGCAGTCGGAGCGCGTCGACTTCCTCGGCCAGTGACCGCGGCCACGCCGCACCGAACAAGTCCGATCGCGACGATGAGATGGAGGAGGGCGAGGTAGACGAGGCGGAGAGCTCTGCGGAATCGAGCCACATGCAGGGATCGGTGGACTCGGATGATTCGGACTCGTTGGACTCGGAGGCGGACGACTCGATCTTGCTGAACATCGGCGAGCGGGGTCCCGGCCAGAACCTTGGTCAAACTCAGGATGGCATTCTGACCCCCGACGGCGACGATGAGTACGAGCCGGTCACAAATGGGTACAAACGTCGCGGCGCACAAGACGATCTCATCGACTCCCCGAAGATGTCGAAGGAAGATGCACACCGCCGATACTCCCAGAGGTACCCGACAGCTCCCTCCGTCCTCGCCGATCTTCACCGGGAGGACATGGACTTCCAGGCGAAGTACAGGTTCTACGACCGTGACATCAATGCCATCGATCTCCAGCTCCCGATCGCCTGTACGGAGTGTTTACAAGAGGGCCACCTGGCTGAAGTCTGTCCCTCGAAGGAGGTATGCCTGCTTTCTCCCCAAATCACAGCCACCCATCACCCCGCTCGCAGAGATAAACTAACCCGAAACCAGTGCGTCCATTGCAATGCCTGGAACGAACACCAAAGCAGCCTATGCCCCACGTGGCGCCGCTGCCAACGCTGTCGCGAGCGCGGCCACGACGACGACACCTGCCCCTCCGCCCTGAAAGGCTCCGCCTCCGAGACCCCATGCGACTTGTGCGGCTCGTCCGACCACCTCGAACTCGACTGCGACATGATGTGGAAGCTCAGCAACCAGAACGACCCAACGTCCGGCCCCGTCCTCGTCTCGATCTCCTGCGCCAAGTGCTGCAGCAACCGCCACCTCATCGGCGATTGCCCCTCTCTCAAGAAACCCCTTCTCTCATCCACCTGGACCCTCCACGGCATTGACCCGGGCATGATCACAAACACCAACTCGGTGGTTAGCAGCCGACGTGGCGGCGGCGGCGGCGGCGGCGGCGGCGGCCCCCGAGGCGGCCAAGCGCCGGGCCCCCGCGGGATGAAGATCCGCGGTCGGGCCGACCAGCACCGCCCACCGTCCTCCGACAGCGACGACATGATGAGTCGGCTGCGTCAGCAGCCCGTCAACCGCGGTAACAACAACAACAACAACAGTAATCGCGGACATATCCGGTTCGGAGCTGGCATCGGCACGAACAACAGAAATATTGCGCCGCCGGGTGGTGGTGGTGGTGGTGGTGGCTATCGACAGCGGTCTCTGTCGCCGAACGGCCGTCCGGGTCGTGGTGGTCGTGGCGGCGGCGGCGGTGGTGGAAGAGGCAGAGATAGTTACCAACCCTCGTCCGGGGGTCGAAATGCGAGACCGCCACCCGCGCCCTCGCGTCCGGCCAGAGGCGGCGGCGGAGGACGCGGTGGTGGTCGGGGTGGGAAGAGAGGAGGGGGAGGGTCCGGTGGAGATGCGTACCGTCCGCCGCGGCGCTGGTAAGAAGGCCTGTGATTGATGCAGGATGTGAATGGTTGATTGAGTTGACACGACTGATACCCCCTCTACGAGTGGCTGCGGGGATAGATGCATGTTTGCGTACTTGGTAAAAAAATACCCCGGGATGATTATCTTTCTTTTATCTGTTTGTCTTAGTATCATTTCCCCAGACGAAAAGGAGCCAGGGCAGGTCCTTTCTCGCAAAGCATTATGTACAGATGCCACAAAAAGCCATTGTCTTTCTCTTTATTGATCTAAATCATTGAGCCGATGCCGCGGCCGTAGGTGCATCGGTCGCGGGAACTTTGTTCCCACCTCTGTGACCGACAAATCCACGGCCCAAAATGCCAACCAGCTCATCTAAGCGCTCAATGCAGAGATCGGTATGCTCGTGGTCTCTCAAATGAGCATTGTGGTCGTTGAGGAGGAGCACGGTCGCGGCTCCCGCTGTATGCCCGGCCGTCATATCATCGAGGCTATCTCCGACCTAACCACGGATGCAACATTAGCAAAACAATCGGTTCGTATCACTCAGCCCTGCCCTTCATACAACCCTTGCACACATCAAGGCAGAGGGCCAAGCCGAATAACGCACCATAATCAACCCCTCCCCGCCATCCTCCAACCCCCACTCCCTCGCAATATGCAGAATCCCCGCCGGATCCGGCTTGGGCATCAACCCAGGCGTCTCGCGGGTGATGATCGGCAGAAACACATGAGCCGGGAGATGATTCTGCAGGAGATTCGTCACGGGGGCCCTATTCGTTTCCATGCCACCGTAGTCAGCCTATGCCATGCCAAAGCCCCAAGACGAGAGATGGGAAAGCACAGAGCGAGCGGGAGAAAAGCAATGCATACTCAAAATTCCGCGTGCACAACGCCCGTCGAATCCCCCTCTGCTCCAGATAATCCATCAGATCCACCAGCCCCGGTTGCGGTTGCTGGTGGCGCATGGCTTCGCGTTCGATGGCCTTGATCTTGTCGGCGGCTTCGAGTTGGGCGGAGGCGGTGGGGAGGCTGGCGATGTGGTGGAGGATGTCGGTTTTCTTGTCGATGTTGAGGACGGCTCTGTTTGTGGAGGTTTAGGATGGGTGGAGTTGGACAAGTATGCGCCGGGGGGAGGGGTTGAGGTTACCGCATCTCGGCGAACATGTAGTTTTGGGGGAGGCTTTGCGTGGTTTGTTAGATTGATTGGGTTGGCTGAGGGAAAGGAGAGGCAGGAGGAGGAGTAGAGTAAATGGTTTAGAAGAGAAAGAAGCATAGGATGAAGCAAAGATAACCTGAAAACTCACCATAATGTGCCGTCGACATCGAAGACGATGCCCCTCAGCGCGGGTGCGGAGGAATCTCGCGAGTTCTCCGCATTGAGAGGAGCGAAGCGCCGTTGACGCAGGGGAGATTGCGGGGCTGCTGCGGAGGAGAGAGTAGCCATGAAGCGATGGGAGAGACGCAATGAATTGAAGGGAGAGAGGAGCATTGAATCCGATAAGATTGTGAGTCAGTCCAGGATAGTTCAGGATGTTGGAGACGGAGAGAGTGGAGAGGGAGAGTAGGAAGAGAGGAGGGGAGAAAGTCTGACGTTTGCGGGTCCGAGTGGCTCCGCAGCCGCCGATAAGATAAAGAAAAGTCATCGTCGATGGAATGCGGAGACAATAACCATACACAACTACTATACACAAGTGCTGCATGGTGAATATTGGATTCGAGTCTCCTCTGCACTACTTCAGAATGCAGATATTCATCATCCATCTTCATCATGTCCATTGAAAATCAGCATGTAAGGACCAAACCAC